CCTCTTCTGGAAGAGACAGTCTATTAACTTTTTTTTTTTTTTAATTGGAGTCTTGTTGACACACAATGTTGTATTAGTTTCAAGTGTGATTTGACATCTCTGTATGTTATGTTGTGCTCGCAAATGTGGCTACCATTGGTCACTGTGCTGCATTACTTCTGTTCCCTATGCTGTGCCTTTCATTCCTCTGACTTACTCATTCCATACTGGAAGCCTATCTCTCCCACTTCCCTTCACGCATTTTGCCCCTCCCCCTTCCTTCCAGCAACCAGGAGTTTGTTCTCTGTATTTATAGGTCTGATTCTGCTTTTTGTTTGTTCGTTTATTCATTGATTTTGTTTTTTTAGATTCCACATATGAGTGAGATCGTATGGTATCTGTCTTTCTCGGGCAGACTTATTTCGCTTAGCATAATAGCCTCTAGGTCTATCCATGTTGTTGCATATGGCAAGATTTCATTCTTTTTTAGGACTGCATAATATTCATATTCATATATACATACACATCACGGCTTCTTTATCCATTTGTCTATTAATGAATGTTTAGATTGCTTCCATATCTTGGCTATTGCCAATAATGTTGCAATAAACATAGGGATGCATATATCTTTTTGAATTAGTGCTTCTGTTTTCTTTGGGTTAATACCCACTAATGGAATGATTGGATCATATGCTATTTCTGTTTTTAAATTTTTGAGGAATCCTCACACTGTTTTCCACAGTGGCTGCACCAGCTTACATTCTCACCAACAGTGCACAAGGGTTCCTTTTTCTCCACATTTTTGCCAACACTTGTTATCTCTTGTTTTTTTTTTTTTTTTTTTTAATTTTAGCCATTCTGGCGGGTGTAAGGTGATATCTAGTGGTTTTGATTTGCATTTCCCTGGTTAGTATCCAAAATATATGACGAACTTCTACAACTCAACACCAAACAAAACAAATAATCCAAAACCCAATTAAAAATGGGCACAGGACCTGAATAGACATTTTTCTAAAGGAGACATGCAGATGGCCAACAGATGCATGAAAAGATGCTCAACATCACTCACCATAAGAGAATGTCTTTTGAGACACTAAGAGACCCAATTTTTTGCATCCATGCTTATAATATACATGGACCTGACATTTTCTTTAATTCTGCTGTCTTGTTTTGGTATCAAGATTAGATTAGCCTCATAGAATGTTTGGATAGACTTCTCTGTCTTGTTCGAATTCTGGTGCAGTTTGCACAATATAGTTTGTTTGTTTGTTTGTTTGCATTTGTGTATCACTCTAGTAAAACTCTCTCAGCCTGGGCATTTAAGGAGTTGGAACAGACCCACTGCCTTTTCAATTTCATTGACAATTCTTGGTCTATCTCTCTTCTAGGACCAACTTTTGTAATTTGTAATTTTGTTAAGGATTGCCCCTTTAATCTAGATTTTCAAATGTATTGGCGTCAAGTTATTCATAGGATACTCCTATGCTTTCTCAAATTTTTACACTCTCTTTAGCCATTTATAATTTTGTTTCAATAAATCTTACAAGAAATCTGTCTGTTGTATTTAGTCTTCAATAGAACACTAGTTTCTGGTTTCCATAATCAACTCAATTTTCTTTCTTGTTCTACTCATATCTGCCTTTTTCTTTGTTATTTCCTTCTTTCTGTTTTCTCTGGGTTATTTAGTTTTGTATCTACCTCTTACATTGAACACTTACACTTTTTTCTTGTTTTGTATTAAGTACACTTAAGGCTATAAATCCTCCCACTAATTATTGTTTTAGTTGGATCCCACCTATTTCATTATATTAGGGTTTTTTTTGGTCATTCATTTCTAAATATTTTGTAATTTCCATATTGGTTTTCTTTTTAACATGTATTTTTCAGTTTCCAAATGTATGTTCTTTTTCTCTTAAAAATGTTATAAAATCTTTCAACATACACACAGATATAAAAAGTAATATAATGAACACCTGGCTTATGTTTAGTTTTATTTTTTCATAAATACTAGTAGTACATGATAAAAAAAATAGATTATCCTGTCTTCAGGACCCTCTCCTCAGAAGCATTTTCAGACTAATTTAAGAACTACAAGTGGTTTGGGTTTCCTTCTGGTTGTGTTTTTGTTGATTCTTCATTTTACTTCATTGTGGTTCGTGAATGTGGTCTATAGATTCTTTGGAATTTATTGAGACTTCCTTTGTGGCCAGTACACAGTCAATTTCTGTAAATGTTCCCAGTATGTTTGAAAAGAACAGATGTGCTGATATTCTTTTTCTAAACTACAAACCTGATCTCCTCACTTCCTCCCCGATAGCTTCTGTGGTCTTCAGAATAAAAAGACCAACCCCCTTAGCCTATGATTTGCCCCCAAGCTTCCTCTCCAGCCAGGGTGTCGGCCATCTGCCTTATGTACAGTGAATTTATGTCCATGGAGCTCCTGTACCTTTCACGGTCAACTTCCAGAAGAATATTTGAGCTGGCAGAGTTGTCCTGAAGCAGACAGCCCCATGTCTGGCACATCGAAGGTCCTCGAAGGTCCTAATGCTCACTGAGCCAGCTAGAGAGTGGGCTGTCTTCTGAAGATGGAGACTTGCTGAGACAGGACAGTCATCTGGTAAGCCACCTCACTGGGACCTCTGGTTGCTGTCCCCTTCCATGCTAACTTCTCAGCATACTCCCTTCCTCCCTGTCCATGGGGTGGCGGATGACTTCAAAGACCTTCCCACCAACACCCTCCAGTTGCTTTGGCTTCTAGAGTCAGTTGCATTTGTTAAGCCAAGACCCACCCCAAGATGAGTCCACACAGAGTTTCTGCTCTGGGGCCCCTGGTATGGGAATGGGAGGTTCCCCAGGGATCAGGAAGGACTATCCTCTCTACACATTTATGGTTTCAACCCTAGCTGGAAGCTCACTTTTGTGTTCCCTTTGGCATCTGTTCCAAACCCTTGATTGTCCTAAAATCCCTGAGCATCTCCCAGCTCCTTTGCTTAGCAGAATGAGAGTTTGCTACTTTATGGAGAAAACAGAAAACACCTCGTGGTTTTTTTTTTTTTTTTAAGGTTTGGTGAACCTTTATCCATCCATTGTTCCCTCCTTTCCTCCTGTTTCAGAGATGTCTCTCTTCCTTTCTAGGGTAAGAGTAATCCTGTCTCCATATGCCCTTGACCCCATTCCCTCCTCTCTCCCTTGTTTTTCTTCTATTGGCTATTCCCTCTGCTCCTGTCTTCCGGTCTCCCCTTCCCAAACCACCCATCCTAGAAGCAGTCAGCAACTCTCTCCACTCCCTCAGCTTCCAGGCACTCACTTCTCTTGGGAGGCCAATCTCGCTTCCTCCTGTCTCTCTGGGTCTCACTGTCAGTGTGTCCTCCTTGACCTCCTCCTGTCTCTCTGGGTCTCACTGTCGGGTGTGTCCTCCTTGACCTCTCCAGAGCACTGACAATTGAGATAGTCTCTCTGGCCCATTCGCTTCTGATACAATTTGGTCTTGAATTCCTTTCTTTATACCTCTTTTCTTGGCCTTTTGATCCTGAAATGTCAGTGTCCCCAGTGTCGTCCACTCACGGGCCCCCGTTTTTATTTCTCTACACCCCACAAAAGCACATTTATCATCACAGAGGGACATAGTCTCTACCAAGCTTTAAACAAGGACAACCACAGGGGATGCTGGCCTATTGTGGCCAGACTGCCCCATTTTTCAAGAGCTGTCAGATACCCTAGGGTTTTATGTGAAATGCCCAGCTCTAAATATTGATAATGAATTCAAAATTGTGCAAAAGTATGCAGGACAAACAAAACATAGATGGTCTCCTTAGAGCTGTTCTTCTCTTTGACTGCCCCCAAGGCATTTTATAAAGTACTTTATTAGTAAAGATAACTCACACTTACTGAGGCCTTACTATATGCCAGATACCGTAAGAGCTTTGCATGTCTTAACTCATTTAATCTCACGGTGATCCTGTCAACAATGTGCTATGATTATACCTGCTTTATGGGTGAGCAAACTGAGGGGGAGAGCTTCAGTATTTTGTCCTGGGTGTCAGACATACTGAGTTTAAGAACCAGCATTCAGGTCCAGATGGTCCAGCTCCCAGCTCAAGCCCTCACCCACCACACGCTATTGCTTTCTTCGCTCAGCAGATGGGGAAACTGAGGTCCAGAGAGGTTGAGAAACTGTCCAAGATCACAGGAGTGTAACCGGGCAAGTAGGGATTTGAAGCCATCATCACAGAGGCATAGATATTTGCACTTTCTGCTTTATTAGAATTAGTTACCTGTTCCCTGCTAGACTGCATCCCCAGCTCCCAGATCAGGCACAGAGATGCAAGTGTTTGTCAAATGGGTGCCCTCCAACAGTCCATTCCTTCTATTAAGAACTTCGTTCGCTTCTAACAATCCCTAAGTAACACAGTAGCTGACTTCCAGCACTTCCAGTGCGCATTCTCTTAAACCTCACGAACACGCTGTTCCTTGCGGACCGCGATCCTCCCCATGTAACAGAAGAAGAAACGGAGGCTCAGAGTAGCTCAGAGACTCGCCCAAGATCTGGCAACTAGCAAGTGGCAGAGACAGGATTCTAGCTCAAGCTATATGGCAGCAAGAGTCCTCACTGCTGACCCCGAGGCCACAGGGTCGGTTGTACAGGTGGGGAAACTGAGGCCCGGGACAGGGCACTGGGTTGTGTCCACGGAACCGCGGCTACTGGGGGGAGGGTCCCGCTGCATGCCTGCCCTCCCTCCAGTAAGGTTGCAGGGTGCCACTGCGGGGCTGGAGGTGGAGGGCCACAGGCGGCAGCCCCGCCGCTGGGTAAGGTGTGGAAAGCGGCGGGAGAAGTGCGTTAATTCCCCACCTACCCCAATGGCTCCTTGGCACCATGGCAACGGCGCGGACAGGACGGCAGGAAGTGCGTCACCCGGTGGGCGGGACAAATAAGCGACGTCCACCAATGGGAGCGCTGAGCCCGCGTTCGCTCCGCCCTGAAGGAGGAGCCGCGCCCGCCTTTTCTGTCTTGGCCGCCCGCACTGGGGGCTGCACTCGGCTACCGCGGTGGGTGATCGGACCGTGGGGCAGCGAGGCTGTCGGGGATGGAAGAGGGCCGTGCGGAGAGGCGACGGAGGACGGAAGGTGGGCGTCAGGCCCCGGGTTCGGCCCGTGCCTGTGCCGGAGTGTGGCGCTGGGGGCCCGGGGACTTGGGGCTCCTCATTTCCTGATGAGGATTCAGGCCCAGAGAGGGACAGGAAGACCAGTAGGCTGCAACCTAGTGTCCCCGACACACAGACGTTGTGAAATCGTGGTATCAGGTGCAAATATCGATGTCATCCTGATATTAGGTGACAAAAGCAAAATACAGAATTCTGCCTGAACCGAATAGGGAAAATACGGCCTTCGCGGACCACCTCACGGTTTCTCGCCGCCCTCTGTGCTTTGTGCTCTCGGTCGTGTTACAGAAACCCCAACTTTGTTCAATCCCACAGCCCCGTATTTTAAAGCCCCGAGGCGAGGCGTGCTCAGACGCCCCAGTTTTGGGGATTTTTGAGAGGAATATGATGCATAGATTCGATGGTATGTCATACCTTCCTTGGGGTCTGGGGCAGCTTCTTGTAATCAAATTCACCGCTATTTTCACCGCTAAATATGTGCAGATTTACAGTAAAGGAACTAAAGAACGGCCAGAAATAGCCTCACCTCAGGTCAGGTCAGGTTTTCACACTTAAAAGATGGGGTTTTAAGACCTTTTTTAGATTTGAGAATTGTAGGTAAGGGATCCCTGCAGCTGGGCGATCATGACTTAATTGTTGCCTCCCTTGTCTCGCTTACCTTGCTGGGGATGCTACAGTTCCTGAACTTTGCTTTTGTTTTGCGCCCCTCACCCCCACTCCCATCCATCACTAATTCTGTGCATCCCCTTGTGCCTTCCCGCTCTGTTTCCTCATCTGTAAAATGGAGTCAGGAATGCTTCCGTCCTCAGGTTCCAGCGAGGATGGAGCGAGACCGCAGAGAAGCACTCGCCCCATGCCTCGCTGGCGGCTCAGATGGTGACGGTTGAGATCTGTTTATTGCACAGACGTTTCTATTTTTTAAGCATTTGGGTAGGCAGTTGGCCACGATTAATCTCTGCTGCCCGGTCCCTCTTCAGACAACTGCCTTCTGTGTAAAAACACGCCTATCTGTATCTATTTTCCTCTTCTTTCCCCTAAATTGTAGCCTTCTATGACGTTCTGTAGTTGGTCCTTCTTACTAACATTTATTTTGGCTAACGTAACACATTTACACCATTTCTTCGTTTTATAATCAAGATAGGTAACATTTCTATAAAAATGTTTGCAATTTAAGTTCGAAGGATAAAAATCAAAGGAACACCCATATACGCATCATCAAGTTAAGAAATAGAACATTATCATACCCTGAAAGCCCCCGCTGAATTCTTTCTTCCCCTCACCAAAGATGACTCAGTGCCCTGAGTATCGTGTTACTCATTCCCTTGTTTTTCTTTGCGGTTTTTACTATGTGTCTGTAATGACTGCTACATACGGTTTTGCTAGGTTGTGAATTTTATATAGGATCGTCATATATATATTTGCCTTTGTTTTTGCGTCACATTACGTATATGACATGTGTCCAAGGTGATGTGAGTAGCTCTACATCCCCCTCATTGCTTCCTTGAAATTTTGAATTCCACGGTTTAATTATAAACGCTTTCCGTAGGCATTCCTCAACTGATGGTCGTGGACACTCTTGCCAGATTTTTACTGCCACATGGTGTGTTTATAAACCTATTTCCTGGAGCAGATGTAGAAAAGTTTCTCTAAATTGTATACAGAATAGTGGATTTCTGGGGATACCCACATTTGCGAGTAAGACTGACCAGTCTGGGTGGTTTGTACGCGTTTACACTCCACCAGCTGTGGGTGAGTTTTAGCCCAGGCCGTTCTTTAGAACTTTTTGCCGATCTGGTGATGAGTAAACATTGGTCACTGGGATTTGAATATTCATTTGCCTGATGACATCAAGACGGAGCCGTTTTAATATACTTATGAACCATTTGTGCATCCTCTTTGAAAATTTCTGTGGCTGATTTTTCTCTTGACGTTTGTCTTCCCCTTACTGATTTGTAGGAACTCATTACCTCTTCTGAGTACGAATCTTCTGTGGCTTCAGTTTCAGATGCTGTCCAGTTTGTAGCTTGTCTTCTCTCTCTCCCACTCTGAAGTATTTTGGGTGAACAGAAGTTCTTAATGTTAACAAAGTCACGTGTATCAGTATATTCCTTTATGGTTTGTGCTTTTTGTATCATTATTATTTTTATTATTCTATCTTTTAAAGCTATCCTTCCCTGCCTTTGGCTCATAAAGAATGTTCTGTATTGTCGCCCAATGTTTTATAGTGTTTTCTTTCTTACGACCTTACTGCTCAAAAAGATTTTTGTGCCTAGTGTGAGGTGAAGGTCGAGTTCTCTGTTTTTTTCCTGTAGGGTGATCTGTTGTTCTGGCATCTTTTATTGAAAAGCTTGCTTTGAGCTGGAGTTCCGTTTCTCCAACCTGTTGAATAACCATACCTGTGTGCATTTCTGTGTCTGGGTTCTCTCTGTGCTGTCCCCCTGCTCTTATTTGGTCCATGTCTGTAGTATTATCGTACATTATTCATTACTCTAGCTTTAAAATAAGTCGCTACCTGGTAGGACAAGTCCTCCTGTCTTTATCTTCTCCCCGAATGGCTTTGCTGTTTTGCCTTTACGTGTCCATGCAAATGTTGGAATCGTCTTGTCAAATTACACCCAGATGCACCCAGCCTATGGGGATTTTGATCCGAATTGCATGGGTTCAGTTGCATTGGATCAATTTGGGTTTGAAAGTGATTGCTTTCAATAGGCCACCCTTAAGTATTATGTTCACCATAGGTTTTTGTAGATAGCACTTAGTAAATAAAGGAAGTTTCCTTCAATTCAAAGTATTTAGTATGAGTAACTGTTAAATTTAATCATAGTTTCTGAATCTGTTAAGATGATTATAGGCTTTTATTCTGTATTCTGTTAATGTGGTAATCACACTGATTTTTTTTCCAGCTTTATTGAGATATTATTGACATATGACATTCAATTGATTCTCAGATCTTAAGCCATTGAGGGGATAACCCCAACTGGTCACCATGAAGTCGTCTTTCTGTGTTGCTAGATCCGATTAATGTTTTGCTTTGGACCCCCGGAGCTGTGTTTCTGCAAGATACTGGCCTTTTTATTTTCCTTTCATTTGAAGCCTCGGTCGGGGTTTTTTTTTTTTTTAATTTAATTTTTTTTAAGATTTTTTATTTCTTTATTTAACAGAGAGAGAGAGAGAGAGAGAGAGATCACAAGTAGGCAGAGAGGCAGGCACAGAGAGAGGAGGAAGCAGGCTCCCTGCTGAGCAGAGAGCCCGATGTGGGGCTCGATCCCAGGACCCTGTGATCATGACCTGAGCCGAAGGCAGAGGCTTAACCCACTGAGCCATCGAGGCGCCCCAGGTTTTAATGCCCAACTGACGTCAGCCTTATCAGATGATTTGGGGAGGGTTTGCTTTTCTGTAGGTCCTGGGATAGTTTTGTGACATTGACATTTGAAATCACTTGCTTCCAGAATGTTTGGCGGGGCTTCTTGATAAAACCATCTGGATCTGAAGTTTTCTTTGTGGGAAGATGGACTTCCCACAGAAGGTCTTCAGTGGTTATAAAACTTGTTAGTTTTCTGGGGCACCTGGGTGGCTCAGTGGGTTAAAGCCTCTGCCTTCGGCTCAGGTCATGATCCCAGGGTCCTGGGATCGAGCCCCACATCGGGCTCTCTGCTCAGCGGGGAGTCTGCTTCCCTTCCTCTCTCTCTGCCTGCCTCTCTGCCTACTTGTGATCTCTGTCTGTCAAATAAATAAATAAAGTCTTTAAAAAACTTGTTAGTTTTCAGATAATTCTTTAGTTGTTTTTTTTTTTTAATTTTTTTTTAAAGGTGCCCTCTTTAGTTGGTTTTAAATGGATTTCCCATAACTCTGCGTATATTTACAACTTCAGACTATTGTTAGGTTGTTTAAGTCTTTTTTAAAAATATGTTTGTATCTTCAACTAGTTCCCCCTTTTCATTCCAAATAGTGTTTATTTTTCAGTCTTCTCTCAGAAAATCTTGTCAGAGGTTGGTTGCTTTTGTTATGTTTTTTTTCCAAAGAAAAATTTTGGTTTTGTTGAATTCAAATGTACATTAATTTCATTGTTTTTGGCTCTTTATTATTGACTTTCTTTAACTTTTTCTGGATTTAATTTGCTGTTGGATTTAATGTTGCTGCTCCTAGTGATAGGAAGTTAACTTTGGCAGGACATGGTGACTGGCTGGATCCGAGGGTGGGGGTTGGGGGGAAGAGGATGAGAGTTGGACGCTTGGGCCTGTGGTGTTTGTGTGACTGCGTGGACTCCTCCTCCCAAACCAGAAGACTCGTGAAAAGGACTCCGGCGAAGAAAGGGATTGAGGATGGGGCAAGGAGAAGATGAGCCCAACTTAGGTTGAATCACTGCTGAGCTGTTCTTGAAGATAGCTAGCAGGCAGTCGGAGAAGCTGGCCCTGAGCTTGTGTGCCTTCCCACCCCTGAGGTCCAGTTGATGTGCTGTTTAAAAAGAACAGTGAGCAGCAGCTAACCTTTGTGTGTGTGTCCTAGGTGCAAGCTCCTTGGCAACCTCCAGCATAGTCATATCTCATTTAAATGGCATCTTCTGTCTTAAAGATAGTTTTTTGTTAGCCCCATCTTGTAGCTGAAAAGACTGAGGCCAAGAGAGATGAAGCTTGTTAGTTAGAAGTGTTTTCGTGCTGTATCTGCCGAAGGGAACAGTGATTTTCTTGTCAGATGGCGGCGTCGCCTGAAGTGAATGTCAAACCCTCAGAATTCCAGGCCCCTTGGCAGTCTGAACCTCCAGAATCAGGGCCCCGGGAATCTCTATTTTTCCACGCACAGGTTCTCTGATTCTCGAGATTGAGCAGGTCTGGCAAACAGGCGTCTCAACACCACCTGCCCATTGCTCAGCCCATGCTCTTTGCCTCCGCACGGTGCCACCTCTCCGTGGCAAGAGCGGGCTCTTTGATCAGGACTTGTGCAATGCTTTTTATCAGCCCTGATCTTTGTGGTTTGTGGAAAGATAATGTGTTAGTAGAGAGCAAGAGATTGAAAAAGCACCCCACGGTGACAGTTGTTTCATTAGTGGTTTGGGAGAGGAGAAGGAAACTAGTCCTGGTTCAGCACTTACTAGCAGTTCTTTAGGCAGCGAATGCTGTTCTGAGTTGAGCGTGAGAAAATGGGGCCCCAGTGGACTTTAGCCAAGGCCTTCAATCTGCTAAGTGGCTGGACTGAGTTTCAGACCCAGAATGGTCTAGAAGTAAATAGAGCTAACGCTTACGTAGTGTTTAGTGTATTACCTGGCTGTTACTGTGTAATCGGTGGAGTACGTCCGTGGAGGCCGTTGCTGTCCTTAGTCTCATAGATCAGAGACCGAAGCACACGGAGGTCCGGTTGCCCGGTTTCACCCACTTCACGTGGTAGCACAGGCTGGGTGCCAGCGTCCTGGCTGGCTCCAGAAGCCACGCTTCTCCCCACCTGCTGGTGCTAGTCGGCTTGCCCCTGACCCGTGTCCTTTTCCTTTTGGGCCATTCAGCAGGATGCCCTTGAGCTCGAGAACTACAACAAGTATTTAGTCGTGAATGTCAGTTAGTACACAACGCAGAACTTGGCTTTCGGAGCTCTCTGAGGTGACTGGGTTTCATCTGCTTCTTTTCTTAGCTCCTTCGCACACACAGGGCGGTCCTAGGAGGGCCGGTGTCATGACCGACGTCCACCGGCGATTCCTGCAGTTGCTGATGACTCACGGCGTGCTGGAGGAGTGGGACGTTCGGCGGCTGCAGAAGCACTGCTATCGGGTCCATGACCGTGAGTATCGTCTCCCGGGTCATGAGATGCCCCAGAGCCATGCGCTCAGGGATGAGGCGGCCAAGTGGTACGCCCCACTTACACAGTCTCACGCCAGCCCGGGTTGTGTTTCTCATCTCATCTTCAACCCTTTCCTTTTTATTTTTTTACGTAAATCTGACAGTTAGCCTAGGGGATGAGAATTTGGACTTTGAACCCGAATAGTTGGCACTTATGCCAAGGCGCCAGCATCTTCTCCATCCTGAGTGTCTTCATCTCTCTAGTGAGGACAGTTCATCATCCTCGACACCGTAGTGGGGGTTCAGAGGATTGAGAGACAAGGTGCATACAAAGTGCCAGGGCCCGCGGAAGCTGCTCATTTGGCTGTCGGTGGTAAGAGGGCCGCTTTGCACAGTGGGTCAGAGCGTAGCCTGGGACTCAGCCAGACCCGGAGACCGTGCCGCCCTGCCCTGGCCGGCTGTGGGCATTTGGAGCGCCTTCTCAGTGGGCTGCTGAGACAGGAGGTAAGATAGGACACACGAAGCATCGAGAGACCGGGCCTGGCTGAGTTGCCAGTAACAGGAAGTCGTAGCAGAAACAACAGGATCAGTGATGGCAGGTCAGGGAAATCAGCATTGGTGGCTTGGGCTTCGTCGAATATCAGTGTGGGTAGATCCCTGTTGAGGGACAAAGTGGGTAAATTCTGCTTACTGTATGATGTCTCTGCGTTAAGCTTTTTGTAAAACTTCACGATGTTTTTTTACAGACCTTACTTAAGAGAGAGAGCATGGGACGGGCCAGAGGAGGGAAGAGGGAGAGGGAGAAGCAGGCTCCCTGCTGAGCAGGAAGCTTGATCCCAGGACCCTGGGATCATGGCCTGAGCCTAAGGCCACCCAGGTGCGGCCCAGCTTTAACGATATTTATTGTTCGTGAATACATACAACTGCATGTAAAAAACATAAGAGTGGACCGGAAGGATATGGAACACACTTGTGAAGCGCTTGGCTTTGGGGAGAAATCAGAGCACACTGTCATCTTTACCGTATGTTGTTCTTTTATTCAAGAAAAGACTTGAAGCAAACGAGGCATTCATAGTGTGGTCTGATGATCGCCGCTGCCTGTGAGCGGGAATACAGGTGTTCATTTATGCTGTGCTTTTGTTTTTCTGTGCTTTCAATTTTCAAAAGAAGAGGGGAAAGCACACAGAGGTGAGCCAGGCAGCAGGGGTGAGGAGAGGTGTGTGTGGGGCGCCAGGTTACAGGTGGAGGCCCTTGAGAAGAAGGGCTGCGTGTGGAGAAGCCCCATTGGCGGCCTGGCGCTTTCCTACAGTAAGGAAACCTGCTGAACCTTGTTTAATCCCAGGTATCCAAACTCTGTGGACCTACCCCGACATACTTCGGGAAACCCCTGACAGGAACACACGATGTGTGGGAACAGATGGCAACAAAAGATGTGTGGGTTTACAGATCAGAAAGAGCCCACAGTATGTGCAGCAGAGTAATGGGGTTTCTTTCATACTTAATACTGGGGACAGCGCAGATGTCTGGAAGGGCTTGAAACAGGAACGGGACATAATTAGTGCTGTGCCGGGAAACCGTCCTTCTGGTGAAAACATATCTGCTCTACTTGTGTGCATTGGCTTGGATAGAGGTCTTTGGTAAGGGCCTCCTTTATGGGAAAGGAGTCTTACACCTGCCAGGCTAGCTGCCCTTGCTCCTTGAAGAGCACAATAGCGCTTTCAGCCTCCCCCTCAGAATGCTCCAGTGAAGGGCATCAGAATGTTTTTCTTAGTCTATGATCTACATGGCCGCTCAGTCCTCCTCCCCTTCAGTTTCTCATGTAAGTCCTAAATGTGGGCTTTCATGCTAATGGGGAAGTTTTGTAGCTCACTGCAAGGAGCCACATGGTGCCTTAGTACTAAGAATGAAAGTGTTTTTGCCTTTGCTTGACCTTTAAAGTTATTATGACCTAATTTAGGAAAGTCCTGTAGAATATATCTAGGAATTAATTTATTCTTCGCACTTTATGTGCCGTATCTGTGCATCAAGATATCAAGGTACGGTTATGGCTAGGGGTAATCAGGGTAGAGCGGGAGTTTGTTTTCCCCTACCCTTCATCTAAAACTAAAAAGGCTTTTTCTCAAGCATTATTGTTATTTTAGAGATTTTAAAATGAGAAGTGATGGAAAGAAGTGATCTCAAATTAAGTAAATACTTATAAGACCTAACATCATTAATCTGTCTTTGGAAGAGATGCCCAGGAAAGTCCCCTTTACCAACTGGAAATGTATTCAGCTTCTGAGAGAATTATGAAACAGAGGAGTAATTGAGTCTGTCGTTATTCTGATTGCAGTTTCCCAGGGCCTTTTGTCTGGCTTCTCGAACGTGCTTTCTGTTCTGGGCTCTGGTTCCAGCTCCTCTTACCGTCATGAAGCTGGAAGCAAATTCCCCAGGTCTCTGGGCTAGTGAGAGTTTAGGTTTTGTTGCGACATGCTGGTGTAAGGCCTCGGGCCTGGGCTCTCTGAGTGGCACTGAGGGCCTGTGTGCTCTCGGAGGGCACCCGAGGTGGTGAGCTGGAGCCTGTGAGCGTGCCTGCAGTCCTCATCTTGCCATGGCCTCATGGGGGCCAGGCTCCTGTGCTGGGGACTGGGGACACTGAGACAAAGCTTTTGCTTTGCCTTGGGTTTCACGAATCCTGCAGGCACAGAATCCTGTGATTCTCATCTAAGCCTCTCTTGATGGAAGTAGGTACAGGAAGCCAAGGGGGGCTGGTTAAGAAGACTTGCATTTGAGGATTTCCACTTTTGACCAAGGTCAAGTAACAGGGACCAATTGGCCTTCCTATCTGAAACAACTAAAAATAGATGACACAGTGGGCATGAGTCAGGGAAGGGCAGTGAATCCTTGAGAGACAGGCAGTGAAGCTTCCCCGCCCCCCCGAGTGTTGCCTTTCCCCGTACCTCCTCTGCGGGTCTCTGCCCGCTCACTGGATGACCAGTAACAGCTCAATTCGGACTGTTTACCTGGAGTTGGCGTCAGATCCCACAGTTAAAGGCGTTCAGCCCCACCAGGCTGCCCCCACTTTGGAGGCCTGTCTCAGGTCCGGGCCTCCAGTACTTCCGACCCAACTGGCTATAAATTAAGTCTTCTGGCCTGCCCCTGAGTTTCAGTAATTTGCTAGGATGGCTCACAGAACTCAGGAAACCCTTGACTCACATTGCTGGCCTATATAAAGGATACAGCTCAGGAATAGCCCGAGGGGAGAGGTGCATAGGGCAGGGGATGGGGGGCAGGGGGAGCACCTTTCTGGGTGCTGCATCCTCCCAGTACCTTGATGTGTTCACCATCCCAGTGGATCTCCGGATGCCATCCTTTGGGGGTTTGGGGAGGCTTTCATTACACATTCATGATTGACTAAATCATTGGCCATTGGTGATTAACTCTGTAAGTAGACCCTCTGCCCTTCCCAGAGTTGGGGATGGGGCTGAAAGTTCTAAGCTTCTAGTCAAGGCTCGGTCTTTCTGGAAACCAGCCCTCCCCATCCTGAAGTTCTTTAAGGACCTGTCAAGAGTTGCCTCATTAGAACAAAACACTTCTGTCACCCTTGTCACTCAGGAAATTCCAAGGTTTTTAGGAGCTCTGTGCCAGGAATCAGGGATGACAACCAAGTATCTTTTTTTTTTCTTTTTCCAAATATGTTTTTTTTTTTTTAAAGATTTTATTTATTTATTTGACAGACAGAGTTCACAAGTAGGCAGAGAGGCAGGCAGAGAGAGAGAAGAAGGGAAGCAGGCTCCCCACTGAGCAGAGAGCCCGACATGGGGCTTGATCCCAGGCCCTGGGATCATGACCCGAGCCGAAGGCAGAGGCTTTAACCCACTGAGCCACCCAGGCACCCCCCAAATATGTTTTTTCTACCACAGGCAAAAACAGAATGAGCACTACAGCTGCCTCAGGTCACTGCCCTGAAAGTTTTCAGGCTATGGCAGAGGGGAAACCCAGGCAGAGCTAAACAGGCTGTCTGAGCCGAGGGGATGGGGGATGAGAGCTCAGAGAGACAAAGGCGTTTGCAGGTCAGAGCAGGAGAAGAGGTGCACAGAGAGCTGGAGTCGGCCACCTCCCCCTGGCTCCCTGGCAGGGATCCAGCTAAGAGCAGATATACAGGGAGCAGTCCAAGGCCAGGCAAAGATGAAGTTCAAAGGATTAAGAGAGAATCGGTGCCTGGTGTTCACAGGTACAGGTACAGTGGCTTCGCTGGGCAGTTCTACCAAGCGTCGAAGGGAGAAGGGCTGTCGGTTCCACCCACTCCTAGAAAATTGAAAAGAGGGAACACTTCCCAACTCATTCTTTGAGGCTTGCATCATCCTGATACCAAAACCAGACAAAGACATTGCAAGGAGAGACATCTAAAGACTAAGATCCTTCGTGAATGCAGAAGGATCCCTGTACACAATTTGAGCAAATCTAATCCAACCGTACATGGAAAGAATAATGTGATATGACCAAAGTGGGGTTTAGCCCAGGAATGCAGGGTTGGTTTAATAGTTGAAAATCGGTCTGTGTAGTTTACCACATTAGCAAACTAAGAAAAATCATATGGTCATCTCAGTAGTGCAAAAGAAGCATTTGACAAAATCTGGTATCTACTCTGGCATGGTGCACCAGAAGTTTCACACAGGAAACTGGAGATCTGAAGGGTTGAGGGAAGATGCAGATTTCCAGGACGTCATGCCTTAGAGCAGGAGAGAGGACTCAATGAGTATCTGCCCAGAGTTAGAAAAATTTAATGTCTATCCTCAGTAAAATCCCTCAGCAAGGGAATGAAGGAAGGCAGATTTTTTTTAACCCAATAGAGAGGGTCTGTGTGAAACCTACAGCTAACCAGCTTCACTGTGAAGACTGAATACTTTACCCTAATATCAGGAGCAAGACAAGAATGTCCATTCTAATCATTTGTTCTTGCCAGTGCACTTAGGCAAGAAAAAAAAAATTAAAGGCATTCAGTTTGGAAAGGAAAAATTA